ATATTTATCTATGAAAAAGTCAATGTATAACATGGATGCATAAACACCTAATTTTATTTCAGTGTTAAATTCTGTTTAAAGTAATATGTTATAATAAAAAATGTCTCCGGATCTATTTGATGATTTTCTTAATTCGGAACCCGCTCATTTTTAATTTGTTACCCCTGCTCTAGTGATTTGTGTTTGGAGAGAGAAAAACAAATTATTTCTCTAGTAACAGACTTTAGTGCTGACAACCTCTCATTTTGCCGCAGTTTGTTGCATAAATGATTGAAAAGACATCTTCTGTTGTAAATCTAATTTATTATTATTTCTAAATAGCGTTTTTTTGTACTTTAAGGCTTTTGACTGTTTCTTCTTTCCCTGCTTTTGTTCAGGAGAAGCTGTTAAACCGATGCCTGCAGCCCGAGCCGTTCCTAATGTTGATCCGTCTCTATTCAACGCCCAGCAGCAGGGTAAGGACAACCCGCGCACACCCCACACCCCAGTTCTGCCTCAAATGCAGATTCTGTTCTTATACGCCTGGCATCCAAACCTTTTGGTTTCACAGAAACTCATAATGTCGAAGAATCATAAACTAATCAGTCACATCTCATATCTTTACCTTGTATAAAAATGTCTCAGACCGTTCACTTTGTTTTTTTTAAAACTTTCTTTTTTTGTTCTTCAGTGTTACAAAAACTAACAGTGAGTCTAAAGGATCAATTTATGTCTGGAGCCCAAAAATGCTTTATTGTAGAAAAAATACACGAAGAAGCTCGTATGACACCAATGGAAATGAAAACACTAAACAGAAACAGTGAAACATTTTGAGCCGAGCTTCATATGTTGTGTTTTCATGAATCTGACTCATCTTCAGTTTATGTTTACTGGCTTTTAAATTTAAACAAATTTCACATCTGATGCAGGTCCAGCAGATTCTGCAAAAGTTTCTTCCCCACTGCCATCAGACAGCTGAACTGTTGATCTGACACTGCATCAAACTGATAACACTAAACAAAAAATACTGCGTATTTGAACTACATAAATCAATTCTCTGAACTTCCATATCAGTGCATTTTTTGCACCATTTTTTTCTCCCAAATAGTTTACATTTGATCACTACGGAAGAGGATTAGGGCCACTGGAAAAAAAAAAAAAAAAAGTTAACTGATTTTTAAATTTTATTTCAATTTTGTATGGGGAAAAAAGTCAGAATTCTGACTTTTTTCTTAGAATTCTGACTTTGATCTGAGAATTTTGACTTTGATCTCAGAATTC